ATACTGTTTAATAACCAAGATGCAAACTAATTTTGTTGTAACAAGCCTAGACCAATTCTATCAAACATGTCCTTGGTTAGATATCCAGTTTCAATTAACGTTTTGAAAGCTCATTTGACAGCCAGTCAAGTCCCTCATGCAGACCGGTTCCTTGTGTAGCACAAGTGGCTTGAACATACCATGTTCTGTTACGAAGAGACTGAAGACATAATTTATCCATCATTTCCCTAATGGCCGTAGCATTTGGCAAATCCTGTTTGTTTACAAAAAGCAGCAACGCTGCATCTCACAACTCATCTTCCTGAAGCATTTTCTGCAGCTCTTCTGCTCCTTCCTGAATTCTTTCACGATCATTGCTATCTACCACAAAAATAAGACCCTGGGTATTTTGGAAGTAATGCCTCCAGAGAGGCCTAATTTTATCTTGACCACCAACATCCCATACTGTGAAACAAATGTTCTTATATTCTACTGTTTCCACATTAAAACCAATGGTAGGAATGGTGGTGACTATCTCTCCTAACTTCAGTTTATACAGAATGGTGGTCTTGCCAGCAGCAAACAACCCAACCATCAAAATGCGCATCTGCTTCTTGCCGAAGAGACAGGAGAAGAGAGAGGAGATGGTGAGGCCCATGGCGGTAGTGGCACTTGCGATGGGCAGAAGCAGAAGGGGTTTGGCGCGACCCCGAGCCTTCTTTCACGCTCCCGGCAAACTCAGGGAGGAAAGAGGAGCTGAGGGCCGCAGGGACGGCTCGCCAGCCGGTGTGTAGGACGGAGCTCCCCTCCGGGAAGGAATTAACGGGGTGATGACCTGCTTGACGACTGGCGGGGCTGTTCCGGCTCTGGCGTTAAATGTTCGGCTATGCCACGTCACGCGGCAGCCGCGGCGACTCCGGCAGCAGCCCGGCCCCTCCAACGCGGACAGAACCGCGTCACCGTCGCCCCATCCCCCTGCGCTTCCGGCGCTGCCCGAACCAGTGCGCCTGCGCACCAGGGGAATTGGCCATCTTCACTGACTTGCGCCGCTGGCCGGCGTCACCCCCCCGGACGTGGCTCCTGGAGTTGGGCGAGGCCAGTCAGCCCCTGTGTAAAGGGCGACGGACACGGTCCCACACTGCCTCGCTTCATCACGTCCAATCAGACTCAAGGAGGGACGCTTCTGCGCAGGGAAATGCATCCTGGCGGTTGTATTCCTTGCTTCCGGAAAGGCGGGCTGTGCATTATGGGTTAGGTAGTGAACCTCCGTTCTTTCCGCCTCTTCAAGGGAACGCGCGTTGGGGATTTCTTGCTCTACGAAGGTACGCGGTTCACGCACGGGACCACACACTTGCCCTAATGGAGGGGTGAAAACGGGCCCTGCTTTCCCAAGAGATAACTTGTTAAAAGCTGACGTGCAGGGGAAGAGGCTGTAGCAACCCCATATGAAGCTAGGCTTAAACACCTCGGTCCCCACGCCAGGTCATACTGAAGATCCCTAATCCTTTGTCAGAACAAGAGAACTCCGAGACATTTTCGTCGACTATTGAAGCTTTTTAAGACAAGCCAACGGGGAAGGCTTTTCTTGTATCTCTTCTCTCCCAGAAGAAGCATGGAAGATTTATTCCTGATGTTAAGAAAGTGGAAAGCCTCCTCACTTAAAAAATATTTACGATCTTAGTGTTTTCCTGACTACAAAATAAGGTATACATCTTGTTTAAAATACACATATCTACACATATATCCGTAAGTTCCCCACAGTCTTCGCCTCCTACATACTTCCTCCATACTGTTGGTGCAGTTTAGGATTAGTAGCACCCCCGACCAACAACCCTTATGCTGGTTAAGTTATGCTCACCCACCTTTCAGATCTCTTTAGAGTTTAACTCCCTGGGAAAATACATTCTTGACCTACTAAATTACTCAGGCTCAAAAAAATGATAACTGCGCTTCACAGTTATGATTTCACATTTAATATTACTATTGACAACCCTCGTCCCCTCTCCCACTTGTCTGAAAACTATGAGGCCGGCCTCTAGCCCGTTTTTATATTACGTTGTTTTCGCTGGGCTTGGCACACCGCGAAACTCACATATGGTTGAATGATAGAGGGATAGCTGAATAAACTATGGTGTATCCATTACTATTCCTGAGAATACTCTCAGGAGTTAAAGGAATGTAGAACTATAAATTCTAATGAAAAGATCTCCGAGATACAGTTACTGAAAAAACGCCAAATAACGACTAAGTACCGTGAAGGAATATAAAAATGTAGATTTCACCCGGGGTGGGGTGTGTGTGTGTGTGTGTGTGTGTGTGTGTGTGAATGCAGAACAATAACTTTCAAGTAGAATCTGCAGTAATGATAGTTACTGGTTACCTGTTTAACCTGTGTGGAGTGAAGAGGGCACCTTCCCCAGAGTGAGGGAAACTAGTTTGGGAGTGGTAGTCAAAAGAGCTTTATCTATACTTTTAAAAATCCGCTTTATTGAGATATAATTTACATGCAACAAAATTCACCAATTCTAAGTGTACAATTCTATGAATTTTAACAAATGTATACAGTAGTG